CAAGAATATATAAATTAAATTACAAAATTTAAATAATTTATTAAAAAAAATCAAGCATTAGATAGAAAGAGTGTATAAGAAGTCGTAGGTTTATTTTGTCAGGAAAAAAATGAAAACTTTATTAATAAACACCATATCAGTTTAAGTTTATTGTAGAAACAAATAGTGTGTACACTGTCTTATTAACATTACAAAGATACTAATTTGGATCAGTTAACATCACAATGATTTTTCTTAGAAGGGCAGAAAAATTTGAACCCAAATTTTAGTTGAAAAGAATCATTGCATCAAAATCCTTAATGTAAAGACCTCATTTATATTTTTGAAATTGAAAGTGGTTTGTTAAGAACAGTCATTTAAAGACTGACAATTTTATGACTTTTACTGAGAAATGACAATTTTAGCGATTTATAATGTCAAATAAGTGGGAGCGTTTTTATCTTGCTACTTCGTATAAAGTTTAAGAAACAGCTAACATAAAAATAATTTACTAAATTAAAACATTAATACGCAACCATTTTTTTCATACTATTGCTTTAACGTTGTTATAAAACCTAGAAAATTTACTAACACATTTTCATTTTGGAACTTTTTTTTTTATTGGAAGCTTTTAAATTTTTTTATAATAACGTTGGAAATATTAGCTTTTAGGGCATTTCATAAATTAAAATTTTTTTAAATATAGTAATTCTAACTCAAATATATAAAATACAATAAATTAAGACTCGAAAACCATCTGATATTTAAGAATAATTTTTTAATGAATACAATTTTTCTATTAGTATATGTTTTACTTTTTCAGACCATTTAATCAATTGATAATATTTGAGATGAAAAATAAACGTATTAAAGTTTCTACAACTTAAATAAAGGAAAATATCTTAATTAAAGACACTAAAATTAAACTTAAGCATTAAATGCATTAAGAAAGTTTCTATGTAAATATTAAAAACATAATACAAAAATAGCTTTTGCGTAGACTACTTTTTAAGTAAACAATAAATAAAAACTTAGAATTAAATTTTTTAGATAATTTACTAAATTATTAACTGCGTTATTCTATCTCTAAAGCGTTAAAACAATTTGTTAAACAACATTTGAAAATTAAAAGTGAGTCCCATATAAAGAATTTCAATTTTCTAAAATCTTAATTGATGTACAAAATATATTAACTCTTCAATAGCACATGTTTTTTAAATAATTTCCAAAACCAAATCAGTAAAATAGTGGTAACTTTTTTCTTTACTTATCTTTAAAAAAAATAAAACTACTTTTTTTTAAAATTGCACAAAATAAAATATTTAGATCAAGTAACAAACACTTAAAAATTATGAAAAACTTTAAAATTAGAATTTAATATTATGAACCACTAAACAATCTACAAGATCCATCCATATCTACAAGAACGCGATCTTAAAGATATCGCGCAATCCAAGTTTAATTTCTTCTTAATCATAACATTCTACTGCACACAAATTGAGTAACTATTTGCAACGAAGTATTTCCAAATAGTTCTAGGTTTTTATCTCTTTTCTAACTAACCTTAATCTTATATAAATCCTGATGAGGACACATTCTTTTGAAATTTTCAAGAAATTTGAAATTTTCAGTATCTCTTCTTATCATTGAAGATAAGTATTTTCAATGGGTCAACGATTCATAGTGGAATAGTTTCTAACATTTAAGATAATGTCTTATCACTATGACGGTCTTTGAATCGTTAATAGAAAAGATCTCTTAAAATCGTATCTCCTAATTTTAAACTAAGCACTTTTTTGATTTACTAAGTCAAAGTAGGATATGATATGTGACTTAAGAAGTAAAAGATAACTAGTATTATAGTTTATATATTGTCTTAGCTGCCTGTTTTTCATCTGTGGAAAGTTACGCCTCTAATACTTATCTTGAAAATATTGAGAAATTATGTTACCATAATTTTTATATAAAATTATTAATTATATAAATATTTTGTAAGTTTGATTCTGATGTTGATGACTTTATCAGAGTAATTAAAATTAATCTTAGCAAGGCTAGGATAGCATATGCACATGAAATGAAATGTAATGGAAGGAGCTGTCGTATCGAAGGAAAAGGGATTCGAGAAAATTTTCTCATCTCTATAATCGTCACATAAACTTAAGCTTCAGAGCTATTTAAAACAAATTAAGTTAAGTTACTTGTCAAATAGTGCTTGGTCCCTGAGCCAAACATGGCTTTTGCTCAATCATCATTCCCGTAAGAGTTAGTGGGAGTGTGCAGGAAAGGGTATTTATTTTCTTTTTGGTTAGTTTTTAAGGCTGAGTAATGATTTGAACTTATAATTTTTAAATCTGATGTCATTTCACTTAAAAAAGTTTAACAATCTGTCTGATGTATTGATCTTTTAGATTCTGCTATAATAAAATTTCTTTTAACTTTGTTTTGCAGTATTAAGTTTCAGAGCTTTGGCAAATAGCTTCCGGTTTAAATTATCGATGTGTTTGTCAAATATTTTAGTTTTAAGATCTTTATCGAGGTCTTGTGTTTCGTATGAACTATTTATCATTTTTTATTTTTCTGAGAACTTAATTTCGGAAAGTGATTAATCTCATTAATTGCGTTGGTGAAATGTTGCACCATGTTACAAAATGTTTTTTTTTTTTTTTTTTTTTTTTTTTTTTTACTGTCCATGTTAACAAAATTTTATTAACCCGCTGTATTATATATCTTTGCATAACATGGTCTATTCATGAGTTTTTATCAAACCATTAAGGCCTACCTCTATTAAAATTTGCAGTTTTTGTTTTTCTGGTTTCACATTTTTACGATTACGTTTACTTAGTTCTGATTTGTATTGTTAATTTCTTAAAAATTTAATATTAAGCTTTTTATGCGACACGTTTTTTTTAAAGAAACTATTTTCACAAAATAATTATACTATCTCCTGTACTAGGCTGATGCTTTGCTCTTACTGCACTATAGCCACAGTTGGCACATTTTGACTTTTATTTGATGGAAACTATCGAATTTAAAGTCGTGAGTGTTTTTTAAGAATATAAACTGATGAGATATTGAACTGAAATATTTTTGTACACACTTTTTGATTATAAATACCTGTTAGATATCAATTTTAGTGAACAATGACTGAAGAATCTTGAAATCTTTATATAAATTATAATTTTTTGGCGACACTTTAGCGCCGATTAGTTAATAGTATGTATATAAATATTGAAACATCGCTATAAATATCGCATTTTGGCAAGGAAAAATTAAAAAAAAAAAATTGCTTTATATTTTTTCTCTGGCATAATAGCATGAGAATTAAAGATTTGGCATGATTTTAACACTTGAGGAATTTATTCGGACAATTTTTTTATAAATCTAAATTTTAAGAAAACGGTCATGACCATTTTGATACAAGAATCTAAATTTTGTGTGTGCCAGCCATACAAATGTTTTTATTGCAGGCACTATGCACCAATTGGATTATAGTATGGTTATAATTGGCTGAGCAAATCAAAGTTTTGGCATACTATAGTTTTTAAAAAAATATCGCTTTAGAAATTTTTTATACAAATTATTTATAAGCTTAAATTTGCAGGAGGCATTCACGAACTTTTGAAGACTTAAAAAGTATTTACTTTTGATATTAAAATCGCTATATTGTGATAACCATACAGATACAAAATACTTTATTTTTCGAGCTTCATAATGAAGATTGAAGAGTTATGGAGACTTGAATCAGATTTTTTTATGCACTCTATAAATTCCCCATATGCTAAAATGTTTTGTTAAAAAAATTAAATTTTTTGTATATTGAATTTCGATTAAATACAATTTTGGATTAATGAAACAAATGTTTTTTTTTTAAAGTCTTGACTGAGCTATTTTTTGGGACTAGGTTAATATATAGGGTGTCCGGCGAGGTTTGATTTAAATATTAAAAATTTCGAAAACAAAGGACGTTAGATGAACAAAACAAATGTCTTATTTATTATGACAGTTGTAAAAAAATTTTTACTGAAATTTTGTAACAAAACTTGCCAACAGATGGCACTAGCAGTAATCTGTTACACAGCGATCAGTTCTAGCGTTGAAACATGAAATGAGGTTTAACCGGATTACCAGGTTTAACCTTTTCCCATTCCTAGTATTTTAATATTCTGTTGGAACTAATGCATACACTAAGTAATTTAAACCACTTAGTGTAATATTTTTATGTAATTTCTGAAATTCATTAAAAGTGGTTACTAAATTCTGAGATACATACACTTTTAGTTCTAAGAGTGGTAAGTTTCAATGTCTACTCTGATGGTTTGTTTCGTGTCATGGACAGAAAATAATTTTAAATGTGATCAAAGGTCCTATATACAACATCTGCAATTTGAAGGCAATTTTCTTCATTTAAGTCAGCCCTCGGATTATCACTTATTTGCTGCATTTGCGCCAGTATAGCGGGACAGTTGAAAAGATGTATGGGGGTTAGTTCTATGCCGTTAGCACTGATGTGATGTTAGAGTGAAGTACAAAAGGTTGAACGCTGTATTCAATTGAACAACGTATTACTGAAACCGGAACATCAAAGGTTTGATTAGTTTAACGGCATATATATTTTTTTATAGATTATGGTGCCATCTACTGTCATTCTTTGTAACTGAATTAAAAAATGTGTATAAATTTTACTATTCATAATAAACATACCTTCTTCGTTTTTGAAATTTTTAATTTTGAGATCAATCTACTGGACACGCTGTAACTTCAATCGCAGAGTCCCCCCCCTCCCGTATAGGTAAAAACTTTGTGTATACATATTATTTTTATTAAGGCCACACTGTAGCAGCAGTCGCTGGTAGATAAAGAGTTGAAACATTTATTTATTAAGAAGTTAATAGATTTTCATAAAAAAAAAATCAGAATTTTAGATATCATGTATTTTTTCTTCTTAAAGATAGCATGTTGCATGGCGATTGAGTGTTTCATACAATTCATACGTATTTAAATGTCTGATGTTGTCATTGCAGATGGGGTGTCGGTGACTTTGAAGGAAATGTCCATGCAGATGGAAAATGAAGACGAGCGACATCGATTGTACGCTCTTCTCACCTGCATCGTAACAGTCATTTTCGATGTCTTCCTCGGGACTGCAGCATTTGGTGAGTATCTTGTGAAAGATTTAAAAAGGGTGTTTCGTAATTACCGCTCTTAACTCTTCCAGAACCGTGAACACATATACGTGATCACGCGATTTTCCCTTTACGGCTTATGCTGTCATATGAAACGAGCTTTTCTAACTCCACCAACCCAATATTACACTGACGTGACCTAAATTCCACATTCTTATGTGGCTTAACTACCACTACGATTATTAAACATTAATTTATTAATATATATGCTAATTTGATCTTACCTATTAGACTGGATTAATAAAAAGTAGCATCGACTAATGATCTTTCTCTTAATCTTATATTACGTGTAGTATTGGAATGTATACTTTTAGAGCTTGTGGACCTGAGGAAGCTCTTTTTTCTCGTATCACCGGTCCAGAAGAAGTTAACACACATTTATTTAGAATCCTTGTCAACATTGCAGCGGCATGGTAGAAAAATGTGTAACATTTGTTTAAATTATGCAAACAAAAGGGAATCTTTAGTACCGTTATTAAAGTGCCATTGTTAATATTTTCGAGAAATACAATTATGACTGACGAAATATTGATTCGTACAATTGTTCTCAAAGCTCAAAAACACGAGAGCTACGTAAATTCAGAAAATTTAAAGCGTTGCAAAAAAAAGTTATTTGCAATACCGCATTGCTTTAAGTAAAAATGATTATTAAATAGTAAAATTATAAGCACTTTTTTGCCAGAATTTGATTTAAAAAAAAGCGCCTGTAATTTTTTTTTTAAAAAAGAAGACTGGAGCACAGTCAGGTAAAGTTATTAGTAGCACTAACAAAATGAATTGCTTATTATTAAATTAGTTAATCAGAATTAAAATAATTATATTATAACAAGTAAATTATAATAATTAAATTTAAATTAATTTTTAAGTATTGTTTGATCGTTAAGAGGTGGATTCTGTCTCCATTTATAAAAAAGTATTAACTAATATTTAAAAATACTGAGCTGAAAAGCACACGAAATCGTAAATAGCGCAAAGCTACTCTTTCGTATGTTCAGGGAATATGTTATAAGACAATTTTTATTTTTTTGATTGGAAATTAATAGAATTTATGGTAATTAACCAGCACTCATAATGTTCATGAGATTACAAATTTTTAACTTATTATTGAAATGTTAAGTATTTAGATTTTCTAGAATTAACTACTTAAAATAATTGCACAATTCAATAAACATATATTAGTTACATATTACGGCGTTGTACTTATTATTTTTCTCTACATCAACCCAATTAGGAGTTCGTAAAGCAAATCGATTGAACTCAAACTTCCTCAAAAATAAAAGCAATAAAAGCATCTTGATATGCTATCCTATCAAACTTCTATTCATTCGATTTGTCTAAATTTTCGTAAGAATAGTTTCTGTTCTACATGCACTTTATATTTAATGGTTTGAAACAAAAACCGATAAATCTAAATTGGTTTTTGTCCAGAGTTTGTTAGGGTGAAAATATTAAAAATTGTTTTTATCTTGTAAAATAAAAATACTATTTAGTGCTATTGTAAAAATTTGCTTTTCTTGTTTCAGTATGCGCTGCCATTACAGACAGCTCAGCAGGATATGCATTTGCAGTAAGTATACTTAAAATTTATTGTATTTTCTTTCCTTGTGAAATAAAAAATTGAAGAGAAACTAAAATTTTAGAAAATTTTAATTTTCTGCGAGTCCGTTTCTCTAATAATAACCCGATCTCGCTATTATTTTCTACATGGGTTTATGCAAAACGAGAGTAATTTGTTGTTGAAAAAAGTGGAATAAGAAAAATGTATGAAAAGTTATTCAGATATGGCACAACTCAGTGGGCCTTGGCCTTTTTTTAAGGAATATTTTTCCATGTTTTGTTCCCAGATCTTGCCTGTTCAATACCCTGATTGTTTTAATATCTCCGTTATTGGAAACCAGCTTTAGAAGTTTTGGATGTTTTTTAGCTCTGCAACCAATTGGTTTGTGTTCGAATAAAAACATTTATTACGTTAGACAAGTTGCATCATTGTACCATTCGATGCAATGATTCAACATTTAAACTTTTATTTCAATTTGGCTCTAAATACTATATGCATATATCTGAGGAATTTTACTCCTAGTTTCCAATCCCAAATCAGTTAAAAGAATTCCGGTTGAGCATTTTCCAGTGCTTGGAAGAGATATTCACATAGATGTAGCTATACAAACTAGATAAATGATTGCTTTTCTAAGATTTGTTAATGATTGCTTATCTGTCAAGAATTTTCCAATTGAACTATTACAAGTGCTTGCGAATTCATTGGGCTGAATGACTTTACCAACCTATTTCTTAGTCAATGCGCAATCTTTGACTTTGTCCACTACTGCATGAGTTGATGTAAAAGTATATAAAGCTGCCACACTATCTTGCTCGGTATTATCAGTGAAATACGATAACATAATTGGCTACAAAAACACTAATTCGTTCTACTTTTTGACATGAACTAGGTACATTTTGGCATAAATGTGATAATTTTATGGCAGGATTACTATTAAATTTTTAATCTTTCTTTTGAATGGGGTGTTATTTTCGTTATTTATCACACCAGTTAAGATAGCATTGAGCTAGTCAAAGGAAGATATCAAGTCTTTATAAATCAGGCGAGCATGGGGGCCACATATCTGTTCTTGAAGTATTTCCAGATGCTAGTATCACTAACTCAGAGTAATGCAAAGCGAAACAAAGGGCCGTACAGAGAAATCTCCTGTCTCTGGTTATTATGCAATTTTTTTATCCTTATGAAGTGTCCCAACTCCATTAAAAATTTGTTGCTGTTTGCCGGGTTATTTAACATAATGAATTCAATACTGATAACAATTATCTAGAAATACAAGTCGTAACTGAAAACATCAGGGAAAAATACTTCGTAAAAACGTGAGTAAAAATGGTATGTATGACTTGAGGTTTAATTGAATAGCATGTTTTTGTTTTCTTAAGTGTGATTTGTTTTTAACGGTTGTGGTTGTTCGAAATTATTAATTTGGCTGGAGTTTGGTTAAAAAATGACAATTTGAGCGAAATTCCAACAGGTCTACATGAAGATAAAGAACACATATCCTAAGCTCGCAGAGAGGCTGTCTAATACGATCATATTGGAATCTACTTTTGAAGATTTCTCTACTGGTCACCAGGTGGCAGTGTCTCTCGGTAAACTATAATGCAAAAACAACTGGTACGTAAATATTTTCAGAATTTCTTTTATTAGACAAAAACTGTAGGGAGTTCGGTGATTGGGAATGAAAAGCTTATGCTAGGCTGTGTGAAGGTTAGGTAACAAAAAAAGGTACTGTAAAAATGAGGTACTGACATAAGCAATTTTATATTTATACATTTTATTTATGATTTTGTTAAATTCTTTTAACTAATTTTTTTATTGTTTTCTTATTAGTTGGACTGTATACTAGATATCATTGCTGCTTCATTTGTCATCTGGCGATTTTACGGGTCAGCCTCAACGTATTCAGATGCAAAAGAAAAAATGTAAGTGATCAATAAATGAAAACTATGTTTTAGTAGTCATTATGTATTAGCAGTATCTTATTTTTAACACTCTGCGCGTTAATACTTGCTTTAAACTTTGCTGCATCTTATTTTCCTGCAAAAAATATTTTTCTGCATCTTATTTTCCTGCAAAAAATATTTTTCTGCATCTTATTTTCCTGCATCATAAAAACGGTTTTCCTCATATAATTAAAATTAAAGTAGCGCGTGGTAAGAGATATTTCAGTTTAACTCTGCCTGTGTCTCAACGCTTGGAGGAAAAATTTCATAAGGAATGAAAACTTAGATCGATTCAAGCAGGATTTTTTGTTAAAAAATGTATGGTTATTAAATTTGTTTTATAAATATGTTTTTCATGGATAAACGGTTTTTTAGTTTTCATTTTAAACAGCATTTTTGTTTCAACACGTTAAAGTATGACCCATTTTCGTCTGTTTCCAAATTTTCATAATTTAATTTTGAGGCATTTATGTTTCAAGCATAACATGGCTAACTTCAACTTTTGACTACCGAACTTTGCCTTGCAGTGTAATCATTTTAAATAAAAAGTTAAAAATTGCCATATTAAAATATAAATCTTTCGTCGAAATAACAAAGATTGATAGACTCAGTAAACCACTCTTATAACGCTATGTTTCAAAAATGAGCAACTTTTCACGACGGTCGTAACATTATATCAATTAGTAAGGATTTAATGCATTATGTGGTCTAAAAGATACAAATAAGTAATTAAATAATAATTTTCATACATAAACTAAAGCAATTAGCCTTTTTATGAATTTAAGATGATAAATACTCAAATTTTTTTTTAAAAATTATGTTTAATTTTTCATCAGGTGGTTTAGAACAAATCTTTACTTTGTTTCTTGAATTCTTAAAAATTGGATATAATGTTGTAAAACGATTTGATTTTGTGCACCTTAACCAATCGTTTTAAGACCTGCGATTCCTTGTGTATAATGCATTTTAAAAAAAATTAAAAAAAATAGCAGATAGTAATTTTCGCACTTAGATTATTTGCGTTCAAAAGCGTTTTATTTTTTAAAAGTTAAAACAATGTGCAATTTAATTTGAAAAAAAATTAGATTTTGAATTATTAAAAACAAACAGAAAATAATTAGAGCTTGAGGCGATGTAGTGATGTCAGTATTTTTCCAATAGTGACAGTCAGTAGTTCTTTATGCTTCCTGGATAGGTGTTTAACGAGCAAAATACCATTACTGATAGGGTTACTGAGACGGCTTTGGCCTGTATTAAGCTGTAGTGCATTTAAAGAATAGCAAAGTACACGATTCATGGTGATTTCTACCAAAAACATTCTCTTGTAAAATTTGAAAATGTGGCTTATGTTGACCGAAGCCATTTAGTTTTACTTTTATGTATAATGTAAACACTGAAGCTTCTATAAAAAAGCAAAAATTGAAAGAACAAAATTATTTGTTTTCTTCACGATATTTTTTTATTTTATTTTTAAATATGTTGTGGCTTCTAATTTTTTTTAAATTTTGTTTCAGAGCCTGTGTTTGTTTAGGAGTTTTATTTTGTTTAGCATCAGTGGGCATTGTTACAAAGTCTGTATATGATTTAGCTTCTCATCATGTACCTGCACAGGTAAATTTTTTAGTGTCAAATAATGTAGATAAATAATTACTCATTACATTCTGACTTCATTAACATTAAAAATACAAACACTTAACAATACATGCCATAACCGGACTAAAGGCCTTTTATTGTTAAGTGTTGTATGTTAAGTGTTAAATATCGGGTTCAGGTATTAAAAACCAGCTATTCTGTTTAGAAATTTTTTTTATAACTTAAGACTTTAGCTTTAAATTTGAAAAGTCCCGCATTGGACTGATCGTAAAGACATGACGTAAAGACATTAAGTAAAGCATTAACTCAAGCATCACTGGCTGCGGTCAGTAAGCGGGTGTTTGACCACTTTGATCAGTCTACGAAGGACCGAGGGTGTGTAGTATCGGTCCTCGTTAAACTGTTCTACCGTAAAGTGCTAAACTTCACGCGCAGGTAGTTAGCCTACCAAAGCTGAGAAACATCCCCTCGGCTGAGTATCAAAATTTCGATGGCTTGTCTTCAGGTCATCCTCAGGGATGTTTCCCAGACCGTCGCCAATAGCTCATTGTGCTGCTTTAGTACGACGTAAATAAAATACCTTCCTATTTTTTTAAAAAAAAAAAGAACGTTACAATTTTTACTTACGAATCTGTAATCTTCATAGCTAAAGAAGATATCCTTCAATATGCTCATTAATTTTTGCGTACCACATTTTTAAGTTCATCCAAAGAGAATTTCATGTAAATTATGAATTTTAAGATAAATTTTTTTTTAATTTCCTGTTAGTCTTAAAACTTTTTGAATTGGGACCAACTATTCGCCCTCTTATCTTGAAGCTCTAAATTTTAAAACAGTCTAAAAAAGTTTAAGTTGAGAAAATACGTTTTTTTGTGTCTGATTTCATAACTTAAAAATGTTGTATGTTATTCCTTTAAGTAATTAAAATTTCAAGAAAACAAGACCTTTTTTTTATAGGAAAAGTTTTTAAGATTTAACTCTGCACACTTACATATTATGAAAAAAATACTTAGACATTTCTATTTTGAAGTAATTTGATTTAAATGGTAAAAGGCACTTTTATTTTGGTAAAAATGCATGAACTGAAGTTTTTTTAATGCCTCTCTTTGAAATTAACTGCAACAGCCGAAATAATGGTCTAACCCATTAAGAGGACGCTAAAGCGTGGGAGGAGGACGCTTCTTGGCAAGCTCTGTTTTACCTACATTAGTAATTTAAAATTAAAAGTATAGAAAAAGTGAGATTAAGTAATCCCAAAAGATGAAGTTTTAAAAGCTGAAATATGTTCAAGATATCAAAATGCCAAACCAATTATGGCAAAATGATTAAGGTTTACGCAGTGCGAGAGAAATTCTGCCATAATACGTTTGTATTTTGATATTTGGAAGAAAAAAAAATTCCGCAAATAAAACTTAATAGATTTTAAAATTGTAGAAACTAGTTTTCTTTCTATGCTTTATTAAATTACCAGTGAAAGTGAAACAAAATTTTTCAGAAAAAAAATTCTCCCGTCTTATAGCGTTTTTTTATGGACCAAAGTTGCTATCAAAAAGACAAAAAATGGCAACTCAGTTATGTTATTCCTTAAACCCATCTTGAATTAACACAAAATATTAATGTTCATAATTGATATTGGAGGACAAAGTTGCCAGATGTTGATAACCGTTTACCCCCAGATGGCATTGTAAAATCCCCTAAAAATTTTTAAAAAACCCCAAAATTTTTAACTTAATGTATTAAAAAATTAATAGTATTAAAAAATTAATAGAATTAAAAAATAGTACAAAAGTTAAATAATGTATAGAAAACGTTGCTTTAATACTTTTTAATATTTTATTATCAACAAATTAACCTTTTTTACATTTCAATCGTTATCTTTAATTTCTACTAAAATATTTAAGATATTTTTTTTCTATACTTTTTGACTTGGAAATTTTTTCATAAATATTTTATCGTCAACGATGTAGTCTTTTTTAATATTTTAATTCTAACATTATGCTTAAATTTTTGATAAAATATCCAACATATTTTCGTCAATACTTTCTGATTTGTATATCTTTTCGTTGTTAAACATTTTTAACATAGAAGAAGTAGATACAAAATTCTTTACCCTTAAACCTTTAAACTGCTTTTGGTGTTCGCAATCTTTCTTGTACTTTTGTACGTACTTCTTTTTTTCTTTATCCTTTGGCATTACATACACATTAACCATACCATAAACCATACATTAAAAATTTTAAATAACTTGAATTCAAATTCTCCAAACGTACTGATTGATCGAGCCAAGTAATAACCTACTACATTCAACAAAGGGGTAAAGGTCTAAAATTATATCTTAATCTTTTTGTTTTGGTTTATCTTATTGATTTTCATATTACCATCTCACACATTCAGTTTGACATTAGAAGGTAACCAAAATGAAACTAGTAAAATTCACAAATAACCGTAAAAGAAACCCCTAAAAACCGATTCCCCTAAAATACCCACTGAAGATAAAAAATCCCCCTAAATTTGGGGGGAAAACCCCTAATCTGGCAACACTGTTGGAGGAAATATAGTTGATCATTTCTTTAACATCTTATTTAATTTGAAATTAGTAATTTTTAATAGTTTTACTTTAACGTTCTATTAAACATTAATAAATATCTAAATTAAATGCTTCGTCACACTTTTTATACATATGCATATACAGTGCGAAAAATAATAAAGATCACCCTGAATAACGTTTGATCTAAAGATAGGATCTTCACGTACTAGGACACAATGAGTCAAAAGTAGTATAGTAAAGTTTGCGCACTATACATTACAACTGGATGTTGAATTCAGGTTGTGTTATTTAGATTTTATTTATTAATAAAACGCAACAGTTGTCCAAAATGAGTTAATAATGTGTTTTTAATAAAAATTTTACAACAAATAAGATTTCAAAATAAAAGGTTGAATTTTTTCTAATTTTTATAACTTAATTTCAATGAAATTTCCATTTTCTGATAGCAATGTTATTTTTTTCCCTAGTTGTTCTATGTGTTTGTATTGGCAGCTGTTGGAGGGATTATGAATTCAGTTTTAGGATGCGTGAAATACATGCTGGGCAAGAAAATGAAGAGCCAGTCTCTTGTTTTAGAAGGTAATGGTCACTTTTATTTTATTTTTTGTTACTTGCAGACCGAAAAACTCTATTTTTGGAAGAAAATAAAAACTTTATTTTTTATATTAAAAAAACCTAACATTTCAGTATTAGCGATTTCTGCAGAATTATTTATGCCTTGCAGTCAAAATAAAACTCCAATTATATTTTACAGACAAAACAAAATTTAACTAAATTGATTGTCTTTGCTACATTCTTGCTACATTCTTTTTGTGTTCATGAAAATTTAAGTATTCCTTGAAAAACTACATTAGTCGCGGGAAATGAAAAATTTCTTAGGGTTTCCTTACGTTATACTTTTTAGGACATCGTTTCAGAGGCAAAATTATTTCAGTTGGAGCTCTTAATTCTTACCCAATTATTTCTGCAGTTTTAAACTTCATTTGCTTGCATTATTTATTTAGTTTACCCCATGTTTAATTTATTATTATTTTTCGTAGATTTTTGTTTTTAATTCTGTTACAAATTAAAAAATAATGATCCACAGAAATTTTTTTATTTTACCGTTACAAATTTTTTCTTTTCACTTAATGAAGTTTAAATTTAATTTATGGTGAGTCGGTAGGGCATACACTAATAATGCTGAAACTTACTTTTTTCGATGTACCTTTTCTCAACATCTGGACAAGATACTGCTTAAGTTTTTTTTCCACGCAATATTTATATGCATATTTACACTGTGATAACTGTTAATACATATCTTTGGCAGAAAATTTTATAAAAATTAGGAGTTTAGAACTTTTAAAAATTTCATCCAAAAAAAATAGTGCGTGGAGTCCCTGCGCGCGGAAGAAGTTAAACTTCGCAACCTGCGACGTAAATTGCAGAAGAATCAGCAGTCGTAGAAGGATTACTAGTTCTATTCAACGACTCTTTTTCCTGCTCCGCTCGCTTCCGTGCTCTGTAATCACGGTAATATTGTGCATTTTTCCCTCGTGGACCTCTTGAACCAGTGGAAGTGCTTGTGGTTAACTCATCGTCTTGCCCTGAAAAATTTATTTGTATTAATAATGTATGCGTCATAGTGTAATTTCAGAAGAGAAAACCTAACAATCAATTGATATTCACAAGAGACGTACCTTGACATGACCTCAAATCCGTGGCATTGTCCGTGGGATTGTTTTCACTCATTTTTTACAATTGTTATCCACTAAGTTTGAAAATAAAAAATACTACCCTATTAAATTATGTGTGTATCAAACCAAACTAAAAAAATATATACTGAAAAACAAAACTTTTATGACTTTTATTATTGTTATGCTAGTGAGAACCAAAACAATATAGAAATGAATGAGGGAAAACTGGATCCTACCACGTGATTTCCCGACCAATAAAAATGTAGCGTTAAACGTTTAACGCAACCTTGTTGGAAGTCGCATAAGAAGTATAACTTCAAAAATCTTTAACTCAAAGTATTCCTGTTAACGCTGAAACATTATCACAGCTTACAACTGATATACTTTCCACTCAAATATCCCCAAAAACTTTCAAAGTGATAAGTAGTTTCTTTGAAAGGGTACATCAAAAAGCTCAGTTTTAGTATTAATCATATGCCCTACAGACTTAAATACTTCCTTGTAGTAGAATAGCTGTAATATTAGACAGTCTTGTATTTTAAAACTCACGAACCAACAAAGTATAACATTTGGATACAACTATTTTAACACTTTCTGGTGATAAATTTTATTTCTCCATGATGCAAATAGATAATTTCTGCGTGGCTACATTAAAATTGTATTGGTACAGATTTACTTTTTTTTGTACTCAATAAAATTATATACTAATTCTTTATAGTACAAAAAAAACTTACTCATTAACTTATGAATTCAGTTTTTTATAATTTTTAATGCACTTTTCATCGATTCTATTTGAGTGACCCTCCATTTTGTTTTTTGGAAAGTAAAATAAAATTTTGGTAAAACACAATTTTTAATTTCTCACTTGATTTTAGGATGACTTTTAATATAAAATAAGTTATACATCACGCATCTTAAAAAAAACTTATTTTAATATTATGTACTTTAAATTACAATGTTTGAAATTTAAACAATTTTTTTTATATAATTTTCTATTAAATTTACAATGTTTGTCATTAATTTACCTGTAGGATGAACGTAAAAAAAATCTAATATTTTATAGTGATAGTTCGAAGCTTTCTTTAGAAGTAAACAAATAATCTTCAATCTATATGATTATGAACAAATAATGGATTTTAAAATGTACTATCTACTGAGTTTTCTACAGAATAAATATATGTAACTAAGCAAACTCCAAGTGCTTAAAATTTTTGAAAAATAAGTTTTTTTTATGAACAGTTTTGAATTAATGCATGTTTCACAAAGTATAAAAAGTATCACAGAAAATATGTATATGAAATATTATAAATGATACAAGACGTTATGTGTAAAACCTTTGGCTTAATTTTATGACAGAAATTCATTCTAGAAATTTCTATATTTTTCCAGCAATTAACACATCACTGAGCGCCGTGTTGGCAATGATGTTGGCAGTGAGTGATATTTTGTACTTCTATCATCCGTCTGCCTGGACCTTGGATCCAATAACTAGTCTAGTGGTAGCAGCTATTCTCTTTGGTGGAGGCATCAAGTAAGTTCACAAATGAAATCTATAGTTAAAAGTTTTAACTGAGCAGTTATTTTGGAAAGTGAATTTGAAACTAAGTCTTATTTAAAATTTTAATAATCATTATTGCATTTAATTTTTTCGTATTACGCATGATTATTCAACCACGACAAATTCGCCCGGTGGCAGGTAAGCTTAGCAGAAGACTTCCTAGTTGGAGAAATAAATCGCGCTAAACATGAGCGGATATTTATTTTTCGGAAATTCCAAACTTAATGCAATTTAGATTTTTTAGTTCTTCAATATAGAAAGCTCTTTAGACTAGTTAAATTTTTATTCATTTATTTTTTACCATATGCAAATAAGAAGTCTAAGAGCCATGGTTGCTCAGGGGACAGAGGGTTCGCCTTCCAGTGAGGTACCCAAACCTTGAAACCCTCGAGAAGTTTTCGTGGATTTCTTCGCCATCTAAAGTAAATGCAGCGATAGTTCGATCAAATAGCCCTCCACGAAGGCAAGTTGGTCCCAAAGCTTAATCAAAAAGTTGCCTTGTCTTCTGGGTTTTATTCAAAATTCTAGGTTACGGAGTTGAGCATTGATAGTCTTAAACGTCGCAATGGATTGGTTGTTAATGTCGATTTTAAAATTAAAAAATAAGGAGTCTGTATTGATTTTCCTCCGTTTATCTTTCGCTTCGACTTTACCTTTCCCCCTGAATTATTGGAATAAACTACTGCTACGCTCAACTCTCACTTTTCGCACGCCAACTCGTGATTGGATACCTATGCCGAATATGATTTACTTTTACCAATATATTTAAATTCATTCAGACACTAACGTTTAGAAGCCTCGGGCTCACCACACTTTCCAATCATAATTAGTTCATAAATTAAGTTTAGATTTCAAAAGTATTTATTCTCTCAGAAACGGTTGGTCCAGTTCACTCTAATATATTTAAGGGGTGAACTGAGCACCCCTAAATTTATGCTTTTAATACGCTGTAATCTCTAAATCAATTTTCGTCCCGCAGTGGACTGATCGTTAAGACACGGTTACCAGCAGGAAGTCAAACTTCACTGGCTGCCGTCAGTTTGCGGTTGGGTGACCACTTGGATCAGTCTGCGTAGGTACCGAGGGTGTGCGGTATTGGTCCTCGTTAAACTGTTCTACCGTAAAGTGCTCGACTTCGCGTGCAGGTCGCCGGGCTACCGAAGCGGGGAAGCCATCCTCTCTGCTGAGGATCAAAATTGTGATGGCATGTCTTCGGATCATCCTCAGGGATGTTTCCCAGACAGTCGCCAATAGCCCATTGTGCAGCTCTAGTGCGACGTAAATGAACAAACAAAAACAAACTATATCAATTTTCCACATGCTGCACTTCTCTTGTAATTTTTTGTAGCTTTATGATCCCAAGAAATAGTGTTAATTTTAAAACATTTTATGTTCCATTCAAACGGTACAGCATTACGAACGCTATTTTTCTGACGTTATCTAGACCAGAGGTTGTCAAACTCGTGAACCTTGACCATACCGTTTTTAAATCATACTGTGAGCTACTAACCAAGAGAACAAATATCATTTGTTTAAAAACATTTATTTGGTTTATGGCCTATAAGCTTAGTTTTCAAGTAAATATGAAATAAATTTAACGCGATATACCGAAATTATCCCAGAGAGCTACTGATAGCTCGATCTGCTAGCTACTGATACAGATAGCTACTGATAGATCAAGGGTTTGACGATCACTGATATTTTGTAAGAGCGCCATGACCAAATATTCTTGCTATTGTTTAATTCTTTGGAAGAGAGATTGACACGTTGAATTGTTTAATGTCTATGAATTTTTTCTATGTTGTGGTTATTGTTACAATTTGAATTTTTTTTATTACAGAGTGCTATGTCAACGAAAAAAGTCACCAGAGGCTACGCCCCTCTTGGTGGGGGTTGCAGTGTGAGCGGCACGCCCCCCATCTTTTTTTGAATGCTCACAATAACTCAGAGTTTGTCCGTTGCAGTTTTCTGCATCAGGCATTTCTGCAATGCGTTGCAAAATTTCTCATTCAATGCGGAACGTAAGCTGCGCATTTGTTGGTCAACTTTGCTGCAGGCCGGTCGAAGACGGACCAATTAGAAGACATCTGGCCCCGGATTAGCAGGACAACGACTTGTGGTTCGAAGTCCGGTTTTACCAGTTCCCTGTTCCTGTAGTTTTTTAGCATGTTTATTATTCTCAAATTTTTAGCAGTTAAACCTCGTTTAGATTGAGATTTTAGCTTGATATACGTGCTATGTAAATTTTAATTCTCTGTTCACTTCTGTACATAAATTTTTATTGTTGATAAATAAATATATTTTGGTGCCATGCAGATATTTTATTTCTGAGAGAGCTTGTTATTGATTTCCAAATGAAGATTTTCTCAAAGATCATGCGATATATTTTGTGCTTTAAAAAATAAAGCAAAAAAAACCTAAATAAGTACAAATAAAAGAACAAAAATTAGCGGTATGTAAATTAGGCTGTACAGACAAAAACTTTCCTCAGTGACTTAAGCACCGAAGCAATTAATATTTAAGAGAACGCTGTACCGCTGAAGAAAATTATTGTCGCAATATTTCTTTCTTCATTACTAATTTAAAATTTGAAGTGTAGAAAAAGTGAGTTCACACAAGCCTTGAGTAATTCATGAAGTTGCAAATACTGAAAATAAAATTTTAAAATATACAAATGAAAATAAATTATGAGGTGATAACTTAGGATAATGCAACGGGGAAGTTCTCTTCGAATAATTTCCGATCGTAAGAGCGTTTTGAACCAGTTAGAAAATTTTCGCAGCGATACTCACCCAATCTTATGCTTCATTAATCATTTATTAATCGCTCTTCACAAGAAAGGATCTGATATTTCATTTTGCTGGATACCGAGTCACGTCGGTATCCCAGGGAATGAGTTGGCTGATTCTGCAGCACGATCTGCAACTACTGAAATAACAATATCTGTACCATTCTCAGACATCAAACTACATTTTCGACAGCTCATCTCGCCCTTTGGCAACAGCATTGGGACCTTCAAACTCGAAATAAACTTCATAACATCAAACCATATATAGAACCCTTACCTGTATTACGTTTACGTAATGCAGATGTAAAGCTTAATCGTCTCAGAATCGGCCACACTCAACTCACGCATCTTAATCTGTTTGGAGAATCTCCTCCCAAATGAGACTCTTGCAATACTTTACTTACGGTTCATCACATTTTAACCATATGTCCTTGTTTTAACCAACATCGTCTTACCTTTTTCAATAGCACGATTTTATGTATGAAGGATTTGTTAGATGATATTCATCATCCTAACATTTTCGCATTTCGGCGAGCTATTGGTATTATATTTTGTATATAACTGTTTTATCTGATTTTATTCACTCTTATTTCCTACCCATGAATGGTTTTACCTTTTCTGTGTATTTTATAGAATTACGCTTTTTATTGATTCTTATGAACTTTTAAAAACACTTGTCTTGAGATAAACAATTTTATTAGTTTCATTTATTTTATGACAATGAAACTATTGTGTGCAATTTACCATTAGATCTAACTCAACAAATTGTTTGGCGCAGTATATCCTCCTTTGGATCTTGTGCCATAAAACTTCTACATCCAATCCTCTTCTAATAATTTTTTTGCATTTTAATACTTTGGAATTATTTTTTTCAGTATTTGAAACTTTATGGCTTACTTTAGGTTTGCCAGAATTCATTTTTTCTGCACTTTAAATTAGTAATGAAGAAGAAAGAATTTTCCTCGAAAAATTTTTTTTCCTTGGTTTGGCGTCCTCTTAAGACACTGAAAGAAGTTTTTGCTTATTAAATTGAAACTCTACTATTTCTTTTGCTGTATCTTTTAATTGTCCTTTATTCACATTGTTTTTTGCTTTATAAAGATTTATTGTTTGATAAGGAGAGATATATTAAGAAAGAAAGATAAACCTAACTTTAAGCGGTTACAAATTATTATTTTTTTTTGTGAAAATCTGAAATTCTCCCCCAAAATTGTTTTGAACAAAAAAAAATAGTGATCGTATTTTTAAGTCTGCAAAGAATATATAACTTTAAATATGCAGATTAAATTAGGTGAGAGATAAAGCAATGGTGGCAAAATTTCTTCTATTGACAAATCTTCTGAGGTCTTTCTGACAAATTTCCTTTCATACGCTTTTAGCGAAATTGGTGGGTAAATATTTCACAGTATTGAGGAAGGAGAAAAGAAGCTGGAATATCAAATGAATTTAAAAAAATTGTTTTGATTTTCCATTTCAGGCAAGTCTGAATTCTTGCTTCATCTGTTCCTATTTTAGAACTTTTCACTTTCTTGGCAGGTCATAAAAAATTTAATAGTTCAAATAATCCATTCCCACCTCGGATAGGTCCCGAAGCTTTTACAAGAAAGTATGAATAATTCCCTGTAAGAAGGGGTTTCTGATGCTCTTCCTTTCACCAGTTTTTCAGCCTAAATTTAAAAAAAAAATTTAATTTCTTCCCCCTTTAAATGCCTTGAACAAAAAATGCAATTAAGTATACAATAAGAATTTAACCCGATAAGTAGCTCGGGTAAACCCATGAGGTAAAACCGGCACTACCTCTTCTTGATGTATGTCTATGCTGAGTTTGACAAATTCTCTGCCATATTTTTAAAAAAAAAATGTTAAGCACTATAGGTCCTTGTACAAAATTTTGTAAAAAGCCTTAGGCCCAGTGATAAATGTCCATCTCTTTCTCTTCATCCCTTGAGTGCGGTCTTGAAATCATAAATAAATTAAATGCATAATTTTGTTGTCTATAGTTATATCTGCAACTTTTCAACTAAATCTGATATTTTTTAGGTTTTACATAGAATTTGATTAGATATAATTTTATATAAATTGATTTTATATATAAATTTCCCATATACTTAACATGTGTATCCGGTTTTACCCCACTAATGATGTAAAGCTGGTTGGTTTGACTTTTTCTAGAAAAAAAAAATCTATAAAAAAATGTTGTACTTCTATGACGCTTCAAGAATTATATATTGTATTCAACTAAACAATGAATATCTTAGTTGTATCAGACAGTTTCTAGGTCGAACAGATTGGTTCCAACAAGCCTTCTAATCTTAGTTGCCTAGAATTACCCCACATTCCTCAATATTTTTTATCAATAACTATATCTCTTCAAATTATTCATTTTTTTGTTGTATTTTTTGCAAAAGGATGCAGCTTTTTAGGGGACATGCATCATTTCAATGTTTTGACATTTAAAAAAAAAATTGTTCTTGAAGCATAATTTTTTTTTATCTGTGAAAAATATATGCAATAAAATAAGTTGAATTATCGTTCCCACCGAAATACAAACTTAAAACTCTGTAGCGGCAAGGTCCACTGAATATAGTAACCAGTACTGTCAAATTTTACCCATTTACTATTATTAAATACAACTTTTACTAGCTATTATTCATTCAGAAGTAGTGTAAAATGTACCTTTATCATAGCTGCCAACATTTGCACATTTTGAGGAATGTTATTTTTTGAGTGGGATGGGGAATGTTTTTCTTGAAAATAGTAAAATAGCATTTGAATTGATAAGAAGTTATTTTAATTTCGCCAATATGTGAAATCTCTCCGAATCAAATTTTAAAAGGATATGTATTTGTATATTTATATAAGTACTCATAACAAAAATTAATAAATTAGAGAGATGAAGTCCATATTATGTTAAAAATATAAACGCATTTTTGTATTTTTTCGCTCCATCCTAAGTGGTAATTTGAAAATATTCACCAACAATTTCGAAATATTTGATATTTAGTTGAGGGTAATTTTTTATATCGTGCTTGTTTCCAGATATAAATATTTATCTTTAACGCGCCTGCTTTTTCTTTTACTGCAATAAATATGTAACGAAATTAACTTGAAAGACATATACATAAAAAAGAAGTCAGTCAAATAAATATTCATTTCGATTAGGAGATGGCAATTATGTGGCGGGATCATGCTAGGAAAATGGCTGAAGTAAAATATACCTTCAGATATAATCATTTTCCTCAAGAAAATTCAATCAGTAAATGGGAAAAGAATTATAGGCTTTGAAGGTTAAACAGTATGCAGATGTTTGTATGGGAGTAAATAGTAATCATTAAAAGAAGGGAAGAATAAATGGTTAAATTAGACTAAAGGAACATAAGTATTTCTTTCAGAATTTATAAAACGTTTACTTTTGCGATATAAAACTTGTACTGTACATTGTGCCCAAGAAATGATCGATGATTTGATGCAACAGAAGAAGATATAACTATATGATTTGCTACCTTTTGCTTAGGAGATTAGTTATTTATTCCTACCTAACTTCAATTCTAATTACAAAATCATCTACAGATGGCGCCACTAGCTAAAATGCTCGCTACTTTTGACGGCGATCTCACTACTTTTTGAAGAACTTGCTGCCATCGGAAGACGAAATAAATGTTCAGACAAATATCTCATGAATTCGCAAATATCAAATGATTTGACACGAAGTACTCGTATAAAACGTTGTTTTATAGTTTTTCCTGTCATCATTGCCATTTATCTTTGAGCACTGTAATGTATTAAAAATGTCCGGCAAAAATTATCTTGTTTTCTATGCAGGACGCAGTAAACCATAATTTCTTAATTCCTACATTTTTTAAAATTTACTTTTTCAACACATTTACTTGGATGTATTATAAAAAATAGTAATCGTGTAGTAATTATTGAAATTAAATTCGAAACATTTGTCTCCGATTACTTTAGTTTAGTTCTTTGGAAAGGGTAAAATAATATTATCAGAATCAAACTGAAGCCATGACGGATATTTTTTTTTCTGTGTGTGTCTGTTCCTGAGGGTTTACGAAAAATTTGACTCCTTGAAAACTAATCCTTTTCATAAGCATAAGTTACGTTTCTTATCCTATTTCAAAATGTATCAATATTCGTGAAAAAATTTAAATGATTATAAAGTTTTATTCATAAGAAGACAAAGAATCAATTTCAAAGAAGGAAAAATACAAAGCTTTATATACTAAATATGCATGTATATTACTGAACATGGAAGATATACAGAATTAAATATTCTGTTGCAAAGTTCTCCATGAGGTGTAGAATTTTACAACGAAACGTTACTTTTCTGCAATAGGCAGATGCTACCATAATCTCTTTTATTGCTTAAATTGTCTAAAGTTATACCACTTTTCAATTAATTGTCTAAAGTTATATTATAGTTTTTACCACTTTTTCCGTCCCAAAGAAGTTGAAGGGCTCACATAACCCCAAACTTGAACAGTTCTCTAAGTTTACTGAAAAAAAAAGAT